TGAATCTTGTACCAACTGAAATATGAGGTGGCCTGGTGCAGCACACTCGGTTGCCTAGAAACATCACAAACGAGAGATTCAGCTAGGCTCCAGGTGGGTCTCCCGCAAAACCAGATTTGTTTGCAAATGAGCGTACTTCGGTAATTCTTCTGTATTGATTCTAACAAGTACATGCCTCGAATTTTCTAAACTCTGTTGGTAATAGCACACGAATTTTGATTCTTCAGTTACTGGTTCTAAGGGATCTTCAAAGGTCTCCCACTAGCCGTTTTGTTTTATGAAATAATGTACGGCAGATGTTCCGTAGGATTAAGCAACTTTCGCGGCATCATTCGTTGTTCACCACAAGTTCACTTTGGAACCCCCCCCCCTTCTAACCGAATATTTAATAATTCGAGACAGTCACATGTGTTTAGACTTGTGGACAACATCTAGTCCGATCAGTGTCACGAGTAAAAAGACATCCACCGAAGTTCCGCGAGACAGGACGATGACCCCGGATATTCGGTGCAGCCAGTGTCTTAGCTCGGTGACGCCTGATCCGAATGCTGGACACTGGAGTGCACATTCGACAAGTTGACTGACAAACAAGTGCACAGGATACTCTCAGCTATACGGTAGTCTTGAATTCCTAAAGCAACCTTATTGGAAGGACAACGAAAGTTGATTTGCTAGCGTATGACTTCACTAAAACGAGGAACATACATTTGAGTTCACTTTGGTTCCCACTTTGCCACTTGGTCGAAACTGTGATGTTCAGGCGGTGTAGAATGCCATTAGAAACTCTTTGGACGGCACATGATCTAAAACACCAAAAATCAGTTGTCTATCACTTTTCTGGTCATCCTAACCTCAACTCGTCTTCCCAGTCCTGAAGGTAGCAGACATCGATTTTTGCAGTGCAGAAAAGATCTGAAGACCTGCATAGGCTCATCTCGCCACTGCAAACCGTCAGTTAGATCTCAATCCGCACTATGAGATAGCCACCCCACCAACGGTTACATTTTGGTTAAACAGGCTGTTTTCTCCACTGCTATGTCATACTGAAAGACCACGGATCACAGTCAAATTTATGTGTCCAGCACCGGAAGCTCCG